TGCCTGTATGTTTAATGTCTGTACATTTCTTTAATAGAATATTGGCTAATTATGTCTTTTAACCCAGAATTTATGTGTTTGAACCCAGGAACTGCAGCGAGCAATAATGGAAGACATGGTACGGTTAGGTAAGGAGAGTGGACTTCATTCCTTTGAGCAGGTAAAAGGACACAATTAATTTATGATTCAGTGGGGTCAGACAGGCAGTGTGTCCGTTTGTGCTGAGCAGGGATTTGTCAGTGTTTGTTCTGTTACAACAGGTCCGTGTTGCAGCTGCACACAATGTTTTCCCAGAGAGCTTCATTGCTCCTGAGATGTATTTGTTCCTTTGCAAAACACACACGCTGCCATCCTGCCTTCTGCTCATGCTTCAAATTTGAATTCAATTTAGTGAAAGTTTTGGGTGCAGAGGGGAAAAAATCTAATCCAGGGGACAAGGGATAATCTGCCAGCCTGACAATCAGGGCTCAAGATCTGTAGGACTCTGCTTCTGCCATTGAAAGCATTGTTAAGAAACTGGGTCACTAATTATCATTCTTACAACTGACCTAGGAAATGCTGCTCGTTTATTTCTTTCCAGCCTGAGCACTGATTCTTTGCTGCTGCTTGTGTAAATATTTCTGCAACAGAGCTTACAAACATTTCAGAAGGAGAGATTTCAAATCAATCATGGATTACACAGCATTAAAAACACAGTAAAAAAAAAAAAAAGCACCACATTTTAAAATGTCCAAATGCTTATTTCTGTTAAAATAATGAACATCTTAATCTTTACATATAATTAGCAAGGGCCTTTTTGCTTTTGTTTAGACTGTTTCTGGGTAGTAATTCTAATGAGTAATTCACCATATCTGAATGCAGCAGAAGCACCATTGAACGTAAACTTGTTATTCTTCATTTCTCAGTTATATATGCAACCGAAATTATAGTAAAAATAAATTATTTTTTAAAATGAAAGCAATGAATTTAAAAATGAAATTCAATATCAAGCAGGGTTTGCAATGCACGTAATTATCTGTGGTAATAAGTCTGGTTTGCTCCTGCCATAGCCTTCACAGTATGAAATATCTTCTAGTAATCTATTCTACCAGCAGTTTGCAATTAATAAACTATTAAGTAGTGAGGAAAGCTGTGCCATCTTTCTGAAAATTAAGAATAAATTTGTCATGTTTCATGAAAGGATACGACTACTGGGATACTACTGAGAATTCATGTTTCAAAACTAAAGGGCTTTAAAATTAATATCTCTGTTGCAATATGTAACCTTAAAACCAAACTTTCAGCCAGATATTATCATAGAGTCACAGAATCCCAGACTGGTTTGGGTTGGAAGGGACCTTAAAGCTCATCCAGTCCCAACCCCCCTGCCAGCAGCAGGGACACCTTCCACTAGACCAGGTTGCTCAAAGCCTCATCCAGCCTGGCCTTCAACACTTCCAGGGAGGAGCAGCCACAGCTTCTCTGCCCAACCTGGGACACTGTCTCACCACCCTCACACCAAAGAATTTCCTCCTCACATCTCATCTCCATCTCCCCTCTGCCACTTTCAGGCCACCACCCCTTGTTCTCTCACTCCCTGCCCTTGGCCAAAGTCCCTCCCCAGCTTTCTTGTAGCTTACAGGGGAAAAATGAACCACATATCTACTGGGAATTTAACAACTGGTTCTTAGTCTATATTCCTGCAACTCCCAGTGTAACCAAATGCAAACCAGTCCGGTTTGGGGAATCACAAAAGCAGCAGATGGCTGGGGAATTTTCTCTTAAATCGGTGGAGTCTGACCAGTCACGCAGCAGTTTTTCCACTTTCTCCCACACCAGCACTCCCACAAAGGCACTGGGAGGAAAAGCTGCTTCCATCTGCTCTGCCAGGCTCCCTGCTGTGCTCAGAGACACCGCCGCTAACAAGGGCAGCCTTGTACAACCCCGTTCGCTCAGGATGAATGATTTTATATCAGTTTAATTAGCTAGTAAAGCACCAGCAATCCTTCTTCTTTAAAGATGATCATTGTGTATGTTCTTTGTGCCTGCAAAGCTTTGTGATCGTTTTGCAAGACTGAATTTAGATTTAGATGAGATATTGGGAAGAAATTCTTTGGTGTGAGGGTGGTGAGACAGTGTCCCAGGTTGCCCAGAGAAGCTGTGGCTGCTCCTCCCTGGAAGTGTTCAAGGCCAGGTTGGATGAGGCTTTGAGCAACCTGGTCTAGTGGAAGGTGTCCCTGCTGCTGGCAGGGGGGTTGGGACTGGATGAGCTTTAAGGTCCCTTCTAACCCAAACCAGTCTGGGATTCTATGATAATTAGTGCTGCTTCCCTTCTCCTGCAGTTTGGTTGAGATGCTGTTTCCTGGCTTGACTCCCTCCCCTCCCTCCCTCCCTCCCTTCCCCTCTCTTCCACAGTCTTTCAACCACACGAAATCCCGCAGTTACCAGCTCACATATGGTGATACTGTCCCTTGGGCTCTGCTTCCCCGTGCCTTGGCCTTGGTTTCAGACAGAAAAGAGGTTTATGTGCTCGTTCTTGTGGAGAGCTTCCTTCTGTGCTGGCTGTCGGGTCAGCGTGGAGATGGGAGAGCAAGCAGGAGAGCAGGGAGTGGTGAGGGGTGGTGGAGAGATTTAGTGGCACCTTGGAAAACTGGGGCAGATGAGGAAAATCCTGGGGACACAGTGGAAGGGTCCCCTGGGCTCCACGTACAGCCAGAGATACCAGAGCAAGGCTGGTGTAAGAGGTTACACTTATTCAGTGTGTTCTCTCTAATTTTTCTATAAGTTTTTTTTTTTCTATAAGTTTTTTTTGTCTATGATTTTTTTCTATAAGTTTTTTGGGTTTTTTTGTCTATAATTTTTTTCTATATGCCTTTTTAATTTTAGGTCAAAGCCATTTACATTCACTCCGATGGCACAGCCAGAGATACCAGAGCAAGAGGTTACGCTTATTCACTGTCTTCTCTCTAATTTTTTCTATAAGTTTTTTGTCTGTATATTTTTTCTATAAGTTTTTTTTTGTCTATAATTTTTTTCTGTAAGTTTTTTTTTTTGTCTATAATTTTTTTTCTATATCCCTTTTTTTTACTTTAGGTCAAAGCCATTTACATTCACTCCGATATGTTCTCAGTACAAAACGGTTTGTTGACACCAACGTTAAAGGCTAAGAGACCAGAACTAAGAGCTTACTTCAAAAAACAAATAGAAGAGCTATATTCCAGCATCTCCATCTGAAACCACGGGAACAATCTTCTGAATAACGGACTTCGTAGCAATATTAGAATAATACTCGAAAGTACAGAGCCAGAATGACATGGCTGAAATGGAAAAGCATCTGAATCTTACATTTGAGCCTTGCATTTTTCTAGGATTTCACCACTAACCATAATTTTCCTTCTTTTTTCCATCAGGTGTGATACAATTTATTTTTTACTCTATGTACACAGTAGGATACTACTGAGAATTATGCTAAATTGCCACAAAATAAGCAGAACTTTCAATCTGTGACCAAGTAAATTATGGAAACTTTACCTTATTAATTACTACAAACATTTCTAATGAAAGTAGGGAAGGTTTCAGGTACGTTCGTTGATATTTGATTGTATATAACCTAATACACTAGAAACTAAAAATGTGGATAATTCAATAATGTGGTCTACCTCAAACAATCAGTGATCGATGGTGAAAGTTTGTTTTCCCTAATCTGGAACTTCAAGCTGGATATTGGTTTATATATTAAGTGATAGGGGGGTTTTTTATATTTTCCAGGACAAAAATTCCATTGATTTGATTTAATCATTAATGACCTCAGTAACAAGAATAGAAAGAGGAATGAATCTCCCGCTATTTGTACTTAATAGATGTATTATTATATTCCATCTAAGGGATTAATGTGACCTTGAAATTACAAGAGGAGGTTAGGAAGCCTTAGGATAGAATTCCCTGTATTTCCTTTTGATCCGAACTCAATTTATACATGGCATGCTGGTTTTACCTGAGGGTCTCCTTCAGCTCACGGAGATCTGAACTACTCAAACTGAGAAGGTTGCAAAAGCATTGCTGGCTCTGTGGTGGCTTCCTGAGGGCGTTCCCATTAACCCCTACGCTACCAGTCACTCATTTATTACTTTCCACGCTGCTAATTTTGCGTAGTCCAGTTGGACTAACTCCCTTCTCAGAAACAGTGCTAAAGAAACGGGGCACGAGGTATAAGCTGCGATTCTGAGTGGAGTTTAACAAAACCCACGGGGTTGGGAGAAAGACCAACTTGAGGAGCAGCAGCGGAGGGTGGAAGAGGAGGAAACGCTGCTCCGAAGGCCCATGGGGATGGGCGGAAGGCGGTGTTACCGCTCGTAAGGTGTCACAGAACAGTAAAGCATCGGCTGGGGTTGTAGAAAAGCCTGCTGAGAAAATATATCTCTGCGTTCAGACGTCTGGAAGCCTCAGTTCCCACTGTCATCACTTCCAGTGGCTTCTCTGGAACAACCAGCAAAGGAGTCTGGATGAAACGTTCCATTTCACAACCGGCTGCAGCCACCAGAAAGGGGATGAGTCCCATGTGGAAGAGGAAGAGACTCCAGAACTCTCTCCTGACATAAAGCACGGTACAAAATGATGAGAAAACTGCAATGTTGAGTGGCTTGAATACCTGGAGAATCGGTGGCTTCCTTCTGCTAAACAGGGTCCTAAATCTATCTGTGTATTTCAATAGCTGCTGTTTGCTGCGCCAGTGCGTGCTAGCATGGAGCTGTGCCTGCTAGATCTTCTCTGCTAGGACACTGAAAGCACACTTATTTTCTCTCTTAAACCAGAATCCATTGTAGACTTTTGAAGCTAAAAGTTTAAATTTTTAATCAAAATTATCTTCCCCCCCCCCTGAAATTCCATTGCATGCTTCAAAATGAAATAAATGGAATTAATGAGTTAGTGATACACAAAGACTGATTCATTGCAGTCATTTCTGAACAAAATGATACAAAATAAGCCGTATCAGCCAACATAATCACTCATATAAAGAACACAGAGGTTTGATTTATCAAATGTGGAGGGTTTTATCTGAATCCCTTTTTGAACCTGATTCCTCATTTGATTCCAGTGCAATGACTCGTATCAGTCCAAAGCAAATAAGAAATACTGCAACTGTGATCTGATTCTACATTGCACATTCATTTTTTACCCATGCACACAGCAACAGCATCCCTGGGGAATTTGCACTGACAGAGGAGAGGAATTACCATATAAAATCTGGCTCTTTAGGTCAAGTCATAAAGGATTTTAATCTCTGCAGAGTCTAGTTCATCTCTTTTTTGTATCAGCCAAAACACGGGCATTACACACGCATGCTTCAAAGCAAAGAAGAATTAGACTCGGGACAATTTCCTTTCTGTTTTAATGTGACACACTTTAAAAATAAATTTAAAAAGTCATCTAAATAAGTACAGAAAAGCTATTTTCCACTGACCTCCTTCTACCACATGAATTTAATTTACTGTTCTCCTAAGATGATTTCAGTTTACCAGACTTTTCTAGGCAACTAAACTCCGATTTTGTATAAGTATAGCCAATTCCAATATGAGTTTATTTATGGCTTAGACGGCTGCTATTTTTCCATATATAATGCTGAAAAATATATTTATATTCTTCTTTTGGTATTTGATGCAAAACGTCAGCTGCATTAGAGCCAAAGATATGAACACCAAAAGAATAAGAAAGAAAAAAAAAAATACAGACTTGGCCACACTAGAATGATGCAAAATTTGGAAGAAATTGTGTTGTCACACCAAAAGTTTTGAATACTTTCAGAACTTGTGGGAGGCTGTATAAATAAACTCAAATCTGTCTTTAATACTTCCATGTGTAATCAGATTTTCCTCTGCAGGTCACTCTGTCTCGCCATAATCGTAATAGTGTTGTGAGAGATTAAAACTTGCAGAGAACACGAGCGTAACGCGCGAGCTAGGCACAAACACGCTTCTCTGCAAATTCCAGGAGTGTTGATTTTGCATTGAGCTTTCTTAAACTGAAATACTTCTTGTGACCACCGAGGAAAAAATCCCCAGGGATATCCAATAACCACTTTGTTGGGTTTTTTTCCCTCAAGATAACCAATTACAAAATTAATTTCTAATATTCATCTTATTGAAAGAGTTGAGACTCAAGTGCTGGTGCGTGAGTGGTGATGCTAGTTACCCCGCTTTGTGAACAGCCCTGTTCCCAATGGCTTCAGGCTGAGTGGTTTTAATTAATCACTGTCAATCTGGGGGATCATTCCACAATTAATGAATGAAAAACCCACTGACACGGTGTCGCAAAAGCACCGTGGCCTCGAGCGGCCAAGTGAGACAAGGCAATTTTGCACCCTCTCCCCCAAAGCTGTGGGCTGGGGTTCTGTGTTCTCAGATATTTTAAAGATGAGAAGTTCTTCCTGGGTCTGGTGCTATGTATACCTGTGAAATCACTGGGAAAACCATCTCCAGTGTTCAGATCTAAAAACCAGAATAAAATACATTTATCCAGGGAGATCGTATCGCTTAGTTATGTATTTTCTATGTCCTTGGCTCGGTATATTGCACAGATAAAATGTTCTGCCACAGAAATGGTCAGAGACACAAGTTGGAGGAGAAACCATATGGGACAGTCTTGACCCCGTGTTGGCAGGAAACGCACAGCATTATTCTGTCCTAAAAGGCACGTTGGCAGGTGAAAATGGTTGTTGTGCATCAGGTGAGAGAGGGATGGTGAGTTGTTTATTGATAAAAAGTACTATATTGCAATATGTCATCACTGTTAGTAAGTAAATATCAACATCAGAAAAAAAATCCAGTGTCATTTTTGCCGTGAATATGAAATTCTTGCATATAACAAAATAATATGACTTAATCTTCTGGAATGAAACAAATTAATTATAGCTTATTTTTTATTATTATTGTTATTATTATTATTATTATTTTCCATGTGTTAAAAGCACAAACTGGTGATCTCTATGTAAATAAACTGCTACAAGATGAATGTGAACTGGGGAAGAATATACTATTTTTGCATGGTAACAGATTACTTAAAAGACCTCTCGATGCCTTACAAAAAAAATTTGGAAAAGCATTTTATTTAGAGGCAATTCTATCCATGTGCTTTTTGTATCTTTAGTTTTGACTGTGGGGGGGAAAAAAAAAACCTAAAAGATATCAGAATTAGCTCTTTGTTTCTTCTTGGAATTAACATTCTTCAGCACGCTGCACATTCAGTGGTTTCTAGACCGTTTTTACTCCTGTTTAAACGATGAGGTTATGCTTTTTGGAGGAGAAATCTGGCTGCTTGTAGTCTGGGAGGGGAAACAGTTTTAGATTCCTGGAATTGTTCCAAAAATAAAATGTTTTCTGAGGCATCTAGAGCCCCTTGAAACCCTTCACTTCATTTCAGCTTTTTGTTCTGGTATTTTAGCAAAGTACAAGCAGCGAATGAATGAGGCATTTTTTTGTAAGTGTTGCCTATTTTATTTTCAACTGAAAGTGGAGGGGTTAAAATATAACATATACATTTGTGTAAAAAAATAAAATCTTAACTGTAATTAAAGATTTTTTTCAGTTTTGGTATATTAGCATGTATATCAAAAAAAAAGCAATCTATGGAAACTTTTGTAAAGAATTAAAGTGTCACGTTTCTCAGAACTGCTCATAAGGTTTTTCTCGTGGACTGACATACAATAAAAGCTTTTTTTTATATATATAAAATCTGTTGTTACTCCAGCACTCTGTCCTCACAATGGGTAGGAAGTTGTTCAGAACGCGTGCCTATACTGAACATGTTGTAAAAAATTATATATATATATATGTAAAATAAAATAACGACCAAAGGAATATGGGAACCTGAGATTGATTTTAACAATCTTCTAAGAAAAAAAATTGTTGCGAAGAGCTCTGAAGACGCAGCAGTCTTTCTGTAATGGTTTTATTTTTTAATTTTAAATTAATAATACGATAACTAAATGCATATGCTTGTTTAATATGGATTGACTCTTGGGAATGCACAGTATTTTTTCAGACTATGTGTCTAAACCAATAAAGGTGAAAAGCGTTCTGTCTCTCTTCCAGTTTTGGTGGGCACGTGCATCTCTCCCTTCACTTGGAAATCCAAAGAATTCAACTCAAAAATTCATGTTAAGGAAGCAGCGAGCTGTGCTCTGCAAACCTCGGCTGCAGCACGGGATCTCACCAGGGAAAGGGATCTCATGGAGGCAA